CCACGACCTCGTCCGCGACCGCGGTAACGGTTTCGACCGCGCCCGCGTCCGCGTTTGGTTCTATTATTTTGACTGGATGACGCAACATTCGCTTCTGGGAATGGCGATGATCCAGTTGGACGAGTTTGATAGTTTAACATCACGAGCTGATTATTTTGTTCAGCTACAAGGAGGACTTGCATCAACTCCGAGTAAGTGGTGTAACCTTTTGCCCGGTATTGTTGTTGCAGGATTACATTTCCAGGATGAAATGTTTGGAGAGTTTTTTTGATCATGTCGAAATCACTTACCTCCTGTCCACATAACATCATCCTGGAAGTAATTCCGAACATAACGGAATTATATTCACCAACACTTTTGTAATCCTGAAACCGGAGGTTTAACCACTCATGTTTGGCTTTTGGTAAGATCACATATTTCTGGTGATCAAACATATCTTTAAGAGATTGCCAAAGATCTGCAGGATTTTCTTTCATGATGTATTCTTCTTTTAAACTATTACCGATGTGGTGGAGCAAAAATATCATGGCTTTCGCCTTTTCTCATCTGATGTCGTTTCCGACTTATTGATGGTATCGAGAAGCTCGTTTCCTCTTAGATGCATTTTTGCACCTACTGCCCATGACATGTAATTTTTCCCAGACACATCAAGGACAGGGATTTCGAGCTTTGCCAAATTCGACATTATAACTGTATATAATTTTATCAAAAATAAACTTAGCAAACGTTAAGTTTAGAAATTTGTTTTTCGAGAAAAAACATGATAAAAAAAAATAATTCTCACACATAATAAAAGCATGAAATTTAAAATAATATAGGAGGCAGAGTCTTCCATATAATTTGAGGAGGCAGAGCTTACTATATTTTTTGAGGAGGCAGAGCCTACCATATAATTTTTTTTGAGGAAGCATAGCCTACCATATAATTTTGAGGAGGCAGAGCCTTCTACTCCATAAACATAATATCAAGGAGGAGGTTTAACCTTCTACTCCATATATATGATCTGAGGAGACATAGTCTACCATATGATCATATGATCGTGAAGGCATAGCCTATCTCAACGATCGATTCGGGAAAGGCTATCATCCCGTAAACTTTAATATAAATTTAATTAACGGGTTCGGGGAAGGCAGAGTCTATCATCCCGAAAATAATACGTAAACTTAAAATAAACATAAATTTAAATCATACCTCTTTAGGTATAAGAGCGAATCAAGAGACGCTCGTGCTGATAACGTGATAAAAACTTGAGTTTATATATTATATGATGAGATATATATTTTGTATGTATATATATATGTATATGTGTATTAAAGAAAAGAGGAGAGAATGAACAATCTCTTTTAATTATTGATTCCTTTTCACACACACGTTACTACAAGTGAAAGAGGGAGAGGTCTATTTATAACTGCATTGAGTCATTGAGTCGGTAAAACTATGTTGGTAAAAGTATGGATAATTACTACATATTATAATAGAACTATTATTTTAAGGGTTGTATATTATTACGTGACGCGTCGTATACTACTCACACAGCTATTCGACAGAGACAACAAAACATCAGAAGATCTCTGTTTTATAACCAAAAAATAATACGTTATAAAACAAATCATGCATCTCGTGATAGCTGTGAGGAATGTTTGTTTTCCATTAATTCTATTTTCCTAATTCCTGCTTAAATTATTGCCATTTGGCTAATTATTTTACATTTTTTTAAAAATAATTTTTTGAGAAATGAAAGATATTATACAAAAAGGAATAATATGATGGTTTCTTGCTTATCTGATTTATTTCTTCTTTTTTTATCTAATGCTCTTATCTGTTCTGATAAAATAATAAATATTATACGATTTCATTATTTATATAGATTTGATTGGAGGAAAAAAAAATATAGATTTGATTTTTTTAATAGGTTTTTAAAGAATCATTAAAACAAATCATTACAAATGAAGTTTTTGTAAACCTAAACTTAAGAAGTATTATAATCTTCTTGTTTAATATATATATATATATATATATATTTGGTCAATAGCCTCTTCTCCTAGAGCGAATTGGTTAGTCAAATCGGTGGAGAAATCATGTTTTCTGGGTAGACTTTAATGCTTTGTGCTAATGTACCCGCCTTTGTTTAATATAATATCTCAAGAAATTTATTTTAATACTAAATAATAAATACAGTTTGTTATAAGTTGCATTGGTGTAGAAGCTGTGCGATCAAATTCCAAACAAAATAATTCCTTTATTAATAATGGATACAATTTTGTTACAATACATTTCTATGCATTAAAAAAGGTTACTCTTTGTTTTCAGTTGAAATTACAGCTCAAGGTACATTGCAGAAATATAAAACAATTCATTAATCAATTGAATCAAGATAGGTGTATATGATATGGCTTTATGGAAGAGCTAAGGGTTTTCTTAGTCTAGTTTTGAAAGAGGACAAAACAGTCTTCACTGAAAATGGGAATATGTGTCCTGTCTCAGGCAGAACAGTAAAAAAGAGGATTCTTTCAGAATCTTACTTTAGGACCTATAGCTTCTCGATTCAGTAAAAATATTCAAAACTCAGTAAAAGAATGCCAAAAAGAGGGAAAGTGAGGGAACTATACTCTATAGAATATTAGAATCTGACCCTCTCCTTTATTTTTGCATTTCGTTTTCTTTGTTGCTACTATAAGTCTATACCACAAAATCAAGATTACCAAAGCTTAGACAAACAGAAAATGATTATATATATATATATATATACATATATATACATAGATTATTAAATTATTTTGTTTTGCTCCAATTTGTGATTCGGTAAAACAAAAAAAAAAAAATATAATAGAACTGAGACTGACACATGCTAAATATTATAAGCCATCAACAACAACAGCAACAAGTTAAGGAGAATTTGTTTTTGAAAACAGAGCAAACTTAAGTTATTGGTTGCTTTAGCAGAAGGGAACACAATCTCCACACTTTAATAAGTAAATTATAAATCAAACTATAAGAAAAAGACAAAGAATAGATAAACATATTAATTTCTTCATGAGTAAAAAAAAAAAAAGATAAGCATATTAACAAACAAAAAAAGACTAAAAAATTTGATAACGAGTTAACCTATTTAAAAACAAAACCTACGATATTTTCACATTTTACCAAACAAAAAAAAAAAAACCTACGATTCCCTTAGTATCTCTGCGACTCTGCCTCACCTTCATCTTCTTTATTCAGAAACAATATTCTAATTCAAAAACAAAGTGCAAGACTTCCACCTTCCAAAATATAAACTTAAGAATCTCCGGTTTTTCAGCTGTAACAATCATCAGATTGTGTATATGAATCTCTTCATAGCATTTATAGCTTCTCCTCAGAAATATAGCCCCACAATACAAACTCTCAACCGATTTGGGTGGTTTATACTCAATTTTTAGTAGACTTTTGCAGTTTCATCGGTGATCGTCGTGATGTCTCTGCTCTTCTGAAAGAAAACAAAAAAGCTTTTCAGTGAAGCAAACTTATTTCTCTTGCAAAGAAACTTTAACTAAAGTGGTCAAATTCTTTAAAGAGTCTTTACTCATCTAGGCATTAGAGAAAAAAAAATAAAATTTCGAAATAAGCTTTCACGTAAAACTAAAAATAAAATATTTTCTGTTGAAAAGCATTTTAAATATTAACGTACAACGAAGGAATGAAAGAAACAAAAATTATGAATAGATGTTGCAATAAAAATAAAAAATAACAAGAATTATGAGTGAGTAAAACACTACATAAGCCACTTTCAAATCAGATATGCACCTGTTATGAATAGGATCAGGTCCATTAGGAACTTTTCGCTTGCTAACGTGAAATGGATTCACATTTTTGTGAATTTGATGTGTGTTTTTACCGTGAAACCGAAAATTCTTGACCTTTTCCGTTGATAAAACCCTTGATGCAGAGTATGGTAAGATAGCTAAAAGAAGAAACAAAATAACACCCAAAGACACGAGAGCTCTCATTATTCCCATAAAATTTCTTCTTGCTGTTGTGTGTCCTACGAGTTAGTGGTGAACATACCAACCAAACCAAAGACACAAACAGAGCAGAAGATTCATGATGATTTCTGAAGTGTATATTGTCACATATATAGGTAGAGAGAGAGAGAGAGAGAGTTCTCTGGTAAAGAACAAGCACTTAGGTCATGTTTTATACACCTTGGAGAACAAATCTGTGATTGGTTCTATACTTCCATTTAAAGAAGAATCACACAAAGCAAAAGCATTGTCGACTATTTGTCTTAATATATGTACACGTAGACAATGAGAGAGAATGAGAGTAAGAGCTTTACGTGACATATAGGACCCATTAAGTAACTTTTGCTTTGTTTTGATTTGAGAATTTTTGTGCAGCCAAGCCATTGGGAATCTCACAAGCTCACTTAACTAAATTTATCTTAAGCCAACTTTAGAGGCAAAGGACAATATAACCTTTATGTGGCCTGATCTGAATATAATTTATTAACAATAATAAGGCTATTTCTTTGTTTAGCAATCTCTTAGATTGTTTGGAGCTTATCTAAAGTTATAACAATATTAGAAAATGAATTCATAAAACAAACCTGTCAAAAGAACCAATTGGACATTGAGGAGCTACAATAATTTTCTTCCTTGTTAAGTAACTATGTCCTGCTTAAAGCTATAACTAAAAAAACATTAAGTTAAACAAGTAACCAAAAAGTTTCAAACAGAAGTATATGTAAGTTGGAACATTTGTTTATTTGAAAGGCAATGTAAGTTTGAACAACAACACAATAAAAAAATAAAAAATAATGGGGAGATGTGCGTGAGGCCCATCAATAACCAAATGTACACCTATAATTACATGGGCTCTCTTTTTCTTATCTAATGGGCCTATAAACAAATTTAGAAAGGTTTCGTGTAGCCCACGTGATAGTTTTTTTTTGGTACGTGCCAAAACCCTAATCCCCCCTTAAATAGTGAAATTTCACGAAAACCCTAATCGCAGTCGATTTCCTTCTTTCATTTTTTTTGCAGACAGAAAAGAAAGAAGAAAAGAGAACAATGAAGGTTGTTGCGGCGTTCCTCCTTGCGAAACTTGGCGGCAATGAGAATCCATCAGTCGCTGATGTGAAGAAGATCTTGGAATCTGTTGGTGCAGAGATCGAGCAAGAGAAGATAGATCTGTTTTTCTCTCTGATTAAAGATCACGATGTGACTGAGCTGATCGCTGTTGGACGAGAGAAGATGGCTGCTCTTTCTTCCGGTGGTCCTGCGGTTGCGGTTGCGGCCGGAGGAGGCGGTGGCGCTGCTCCCGTGGTTGAGCCTGCGGCGGCTGAAGCTAAGAAGGAGGAGGAGAAGGAGGAGTCCGAAGACGACGGTGCAATGATGAGTCTCTTCGACTGATCATATGGTAGAAGATTTCGATCTTCGTATTATCTTCTCGTTTTTAATTGTTATATCTTCTTTCTTAATAACTTAGGGTTTCTGGATTTGTGTCGGTAATTCTAGAGATTTTGCAAGTGTTAAAGACTTGATTTTGGTGAGAATAATATTTGTTCTCTAGAACATTTATGCGTTTTATCGTGAATGACATATTCTCCAAATCTGCGATCGAAATATTTATTGAATAATGAAATTTTACATGGATTATGGAATTTAAACACTCATTGTTTTTACTTGAAATCGTTTGCACTGAATGGCATATCTTTCAAGTTGAATTTTGCATTGAAGACTTACAATTTCTATGGATCTTTGCTAGTGTTTATGAGGTTCTTCAATCCAAAATTATCCCCATCAACATTCGGAATGTTTGACTTGAAATTGTATGTCAGTGAATGACATATTCTACAAACATGTGATAATGACATTTGATATATGGTCTATCTAGGGATTTGCCTGCTTCCAAGACTTCCAAAGTTGTGTGAATAAACATATTCTTGTTTCTGAGATTCCTCAATCTCTAGTTTATTTCTTTGAACATTCATGCTTTTTACTAGAGATCGTATGCAGTGAATGACATATTGCACAAATAGGCGATTGATTTTTGTATGGAATAAGGACAATTTCTATGGATTATTTAGGTTTCCCCAGTGTTTAAGAGTTATGTGAACGAAGGTGTTTTGTTATGAGATTCTTTCATCCAATCTATACTCCTTTGAACAATCATGATTTTTTAGTTTTTACACTATAAATCTTATGTAGCGAATGACGATTTCTACAAATATGCCATCGAGTTTGTACAATTTCTATGAACTGCTTAGGGATAAGTGTTGTGCTTTTTAGTTCTTATTACTAGAAATTGTATATAGTGAATTACATATTCTACAAATCGGCGGTGGTATATATTTGTATCATATAATAACATTTTCATGGATTATTTAGGGATTTTGCCACTTTTAGAGACTTTAAGTTTAACCATCTTCTGTTTTCTGCATTATTTCTGAATTATGGTGTTCCTCAATCCAATTTCTTCCTTTGAATGCTCATGCTATTGACTAGAGTTCGTATCCGTGAGTTCCTACAAATTTGCGAACGAATTTTGTATTGAATCATGACATTTTCCATGAATTACCAATTATCAGTACTAACTTGCCAGTGTTAATTGTTAAAGGCATTTTTTTGTGCAACTTAGCCTCCTTTATTTCTGATGATGCTTCTCAATCGGTCATTCCAGTTTATTCCTTTGAATATTCATACTTTTTCTTTTACTTGAAATTAGTCGTATAACGTGAAGTACCTTTTCTACAAAATTTTATGATCGAAATTTACATGGAATATTTACATTTTGAATAGTAAATAACTAAATATATATAAGTTTGTGTAGATGCCTTGTGCCTTATCTAAAGCAAAAGCTTTTTCTTTCACCATTAGCGACCATGGCATAAAGAGGTAACGAGTCATTTTCTTTTTTTCTGTGTTGTCTCATTTCAGTTTTCTTTTCAGAAAATTTACATTCTCTGGGAAAAAGATTTTCGCATACGTACATACTCAGAGAATAACTGTAAAAATAAAAGTCGAATTTTGTGTGAAAAAGAATCTTTCATGCAAAAAGGTTTTTGTTTTGTCTTTATAAGAAAGCTTAAAAGCTAAAACATGGTAGAAAAAGATAAAATTTGATGTGGGGACTAAACATACATATCATCTGTAAGATAAAAGTTTGCAACTTTTAATTTTCACTTTTCTCGATTACACCACAAAAACTAATCCTTTTTTTCCCTGCAACAAAAGACTACATAGATTATGCTTTTTTCCTAAACCATTTCCCAAAATTTTGTTTTTCTCCAAAGCTTGAACCTTTATGAACATGAATGGATATAATCCATCAAAATTAATCAAACCATAACCTAACTGCAAATGCAAAATTGTTGCTTAATACAATGACTAAAAACCGAAACAACCTCTAAATAAAACAAATTCTTGGAGAAGCCGAATACATATACCATACATTTCTTCATCAGAAGAATTCAAAGTCTAAATAAGGACCTGATGAAGAATCTGATTGTTTTGAATGCTTGTCTTGTTGTTGAACTGATGATGACTTGAGGGTTTCATTTAGTATCGAAAGATCAATCGGTTTGGGTATTTCTGGTGGATTTGTGCTTCTGATCAGAGCCCAATTGACATTATCAAAGAAAGGATGTTGCTTTATCTCTGTAGCACCTTTCTTGAACCCTAATCTCTTCTTAGGATCTTTAGCAAGCAAACCTCGAATCAAATCCTTAGCTGCAAAACTTATAGACCCATCTGGAAACTTTAGAGGCTGCCCAACAACATTGAAGAGCGTTTCACGGTTTCCGTTTCCTTTAAATGGCGTTTTACCGGTTAACAACTCGTAGAGGAAGATACCAAAAGTCCACCAATCAACAGAGCTTCCATGACCATCTCCTCGTATGATCTCAGGAGCTAAATACTCGTGAGTTCCCACGAATGACATAGACCGAGCATCTGTTGGCTCAGCTATTAACATTGGGAGTGAATCAGAACCACCTTTTTCGGTTTTAGCCTTTCTTGGTTTGTTGTTGTTGAGGAAACGAGGCTTGAAGCATGATGGTTGGATACAGGCTACGGGTAATTTGCAGGATGAATCTACTATGCAAGAGGGTTGGATACAATAGGAAGCAATGTGACAAGAAGGTTGTGAAGTGGACTGAATTAGTGTAGGACTCACAAAACTCTGCAAGGAAAGATCGAAATCCGATAGCATAATGTGACCATCTTCTCTCACCATTACATTCTCTGGCTTCAAGTCTCTGTACACTACACCCATCATATGAAGATACTCTAGCGCAAGAAGTACTTCAGATGCATAAAACCTGCAAATTCAAGAACATAAGAAAACAGACAAAACAGAGGGTCCATTAGAATGTTTTCAGATTCTTAAAAGCTACACACAACAATCAAATCAATTTGATTTCACTATAGCCAAAACCAAAACACTGACATAGAGAGGATGGATTAAAATGCTAACGTTACATAGCACAGTCAAAGCAATTTGATTTCACTCTCAGACAAACCCAAAACATGCATGAAAAGACAAAACAGAGTTCTCATTACAATGTTAGTGTCTTCAGCTACACAGAATAGTCAAAGCTATTTCTGTCCAGATTACACTGACTCAGATTAGTTTCACTCTCAGACAAAAACCAAAAGCATGAAATTGAACGGCTTTAAAGCAAATTAACCTGGCGGCTTGCTCGGAGAAATGTTTTCCGGGCTGTTTTTGCCGGAGAATATGAAGATCTCCGCCGCTACAAAACTCCATAAGAAGACAAGAAAACTTCTCGGTCTCGAAATGCGAGTAAAGCGTTGGCAAGAAAGGATGATCTAGCAAACCAAGAATCTCTCTTTCGGTCTGAGCCCTAACCAATTTCTTCCTTCCGATCAACATTCCTTTGTCCATCACTTTCATGGCGAAAAAACATCCCATCTCTCTAAGCTCAGCTAAATACACACTCCCAATATCTCCACATCCCAATTTCTTCAACAGCCTGAAATGCCCTAAACCCAGATCCTCGTTTTTACTGCATTTCACGCTCTGAATCGCGTCCCATCGAAGATCGTTCCCTTTATGCGGCTTCGACGGAGAAAAGACCCTTTTGAAATTAGCCTCGTTCGCATCGAAAGATCGAGACTTTTCGAGATTAGCTTCACTGCTTACACTGTTACTGCTACAGAAACTTAAGCTGACACTGTTGTTGAGCCTAACGTCTTGAGAGCCATTACTGCTGGTTTTGAAGCTCTCGGATCCAGAAGCTGGGCTCGAATCAGCAGCATTATTGCAATTGGAGGAACAATCAGGTGAAGATTCGAGATTTGGAGTTTGTCTACTCATAACTAGAGAATAAGGTCGATGAATGAGAAGTGAAGAAGTGAGAAGTGTGAAGTGAGGAGAAAGGTGTTTCCTTTTTGAGAATCTATAGGTTTGTGTTGTGTTGTTGATGGTCAAGGCTCTGTGATGTGACTCGAGGTGGTCAAAGAGAGAGAAAGAAAGGATTTTGAAAACATTGAGATTGTTGAAGAAAAATGTGTTTAATTTATTTATCAAGGGGATTTTTCAAAATTTGAAACAGTGGTTTGATAAACTGTGTGTGTTGAGGGTAAAACCGAGATTTTCGTTATTAAGTAAATATAGTAATATACTAATGTGATTAACAAATAATTTTTCTGTTAAACCAATGAAGCCATTAGTGGATAATACTCGTATCGTGTGTCACGGTGAAGATTATGCAAAATAAAATAAGCAATTGCATAGTTCTAATTATATAAAGCATGGTATGGACATTAGAACTAGGAAAATATTCAAAACATAAAAATTTGGATTTTTATAAGTGAACATAACATTCAAAGCATGAGTTGTGGTATGGACATTAGAACTAGGAAAATATTCAAAACATAAAAATTTGGATATAACATTTAAAATTTCAAATACTAAATTTGAATATTTATTGGAAAAAAAAATACAAATACCATAATTTGAAAACATTGGATATTCTACACATATGATGTAAATACCACACGAAAAAAGTAAGTGAAAGTGAGACATGAAATGCAAAGTGATGCAATCTTTTGGTGAGGACAATAATGAAAATATTTTTATAAATAAATACGAAAATTGGAAATTGAAGAGAGAGAGGGTGAAGTTCACGAGGAGAGAACAGAAGTAGTTTTAGATTTTCTATAACATTAATCCAATTTAAACGCACAATTACCAATACCATTTTGGAATTTATTTATATAGATTTTCAACGTTTGTTTATGACGCCTCTATATTTCTTGTAAAAGAAGAAACTATGCAAGAAAGGCAAACAAAATAAACATAAATACATGATGATTATTTCATTTGGAAATTTGATTTAGATAATTTATTTGTAGAGTTATGCACAGATATTTGGTAAAGTTATGAATCAATTCCGTCGGCATAGTGAGTTACTGAGTTACATAGATACATTGTGGTCGTAACAAAAAAAGAAAAAAGATACTCACTGTGGTATCTTAAAGGCCGAAACCATAATCTTGATCAATTCAAAATTCTGAAAATCTGAATATAAAATTTATAGAGAACTTGTGTTTGTCATTTTCTGAGAATCAGGATAACATAGAGATAGGCGAAATAAATGCTTAAACCTAGCTTAGATGATCTAGTTAAGGAATGGATTCATCTTGTTAATTGAAGGACCAGAGTATTCCACCATGATTTCAAAAGGCTACACCTATTTCAGAACTCACTCCTTTATCACCAGAAAGAGAAATAAATACTAACTAGAGATTTAAACCCACGAAAGTAAACTAATGTCCAATTGTCACTCAACCAACTTCGATAACAACATCATAAAATGTCAAGAAACATTATGAATGTAAAATGTGGCTCAAGGCCAACGCCTATGACAAGTACCGTTATGAATTTAGGGATTAAAGTTTAACATTAATAATAGATAATTATGAAATAGCAATGACGCTTAGAAGTTAGTGGTTAAAAGTTGGTTGTTTTTTTTTTTTTTGTAACAAGGATCAGTTGGTTGTTTTATTGAAGGAAAATTTACTTGTTCCTTAAAGCTCATTTATTTGAAGGTCATCATAAAATCTTATAATCATATTATATATTTGTAATTGCAATACTAATACAAAACCATAATATTACTCATCATAATACTATTAACATACATATAAAATCAATTAAATTATTTATATTTATATTATTGAATAAATCAAACCTAAGTATATTTAAATTCGAAATTTTCAAATATCCATGATATTTGTATATGAGTTATACGTACAGCAAGTAAAAATCTAGACGTACAAATATATACATGTATGGGTAATGATTTTTTTTGGTTTGTTTGATTATTCGAATCAGACCTAAAAACATATATTATTAATTTTGTATGAAACCCACACACACCAGCAACCATGAGTCAGAATGTTTTGAGCCTGCCTCCATGAATCAGAATGTTTATTTTATTTCTGGTAATAACAGATTAATTATAATTTTCATGTCTAATTCCAAAAATGTGAAGTAGGAGTGGAAAAATTAGCTTTCTGATTATTTTTTAAAATATTATTAGCTCATAAATAATTAAATCTTTTAACATTTGCATGATTCCATTCAAATGACGCCATTGAAATCCTACAAATGACTCTGAAGATGAATACCTTCAGTTATATTCAGCCAAGTTATTTTTTTTTCTTTTTCTTTGTTTTAATAAATGTATGATGAGGCCATCTTAGAACGCTTCTATTTATTAATTAGTGTTATGTTATTATTTTAAATTTATGGTTAAATTGCTTTAATGCCTTATCTATTTCTCACAACCATTATATAGTTTATACTAAAATCAAATTAATATTTTAAATCTAATGATTTCTCGAAACAAACCTATAAAAAAAAAGTAGACACATCTTATCCTGCGCAGAGCGTGGATTATTACCTAGTTTATGTTTATAATATAAATTCTGGGGGTTTGAATCTAGATATTAACACAAAAATTACACTAATACAAACCACTAAACTATATGTTATGGTCAAATTCAGAGCCGATCCAAAGTTATATAAGCCTTAAGCACAATAAGAAAATGATGCTATTTTATCACAACTAATTGACACACCAAAAAAACTTATCTAACATTGATGCTCTTAAAATTTTTAATAAAATTTAGCTTTTAAAGCTGTTGCTTTGCATACAACCAAATGTTGTTACCTCAACTGAAAAAATATCAGAAACAAAACTTAGAAATTACATAATTGAGTGATACTTCACTATAAGAAAGATGTTGAACCTTTATGTTGTAAATATTTTATATCATATTTATGTCGAATTTACGACATTTTAAATATTCATCATAAATTCAATGTAAATATTAAACGTCGTAAATATGTCGTAACTTTTGAACAACTTTACGATGATTTTACGACGAAATATATATTCATCGTACAATCATTGCTAATGTTACATCGAACTTACGAAAAATTCTGTTTTGTGTTATATCAATGTAAATTCGATAGTATTTTACATCGTACTTACATCAATATGATTTTCATTGTTAAATTGATGTAATACAATTTTTGTTAATAAACCGATGTACAATTTCATTGAAAATGTATTGGTACCCAAAAAAATATTTTAATTGTATGTATGATAACATAATTTTTTTCAAACTACAAGAACACATCACCAGATGATTGAAAGTTTTATGTATGATTGGTTTGTGTATTTGATAAAGAATGGTTTTGTTTAAATTGTATGTATGATAACCTAAAAAAATTTCTTGTCATTTAGAAAAGTTTGATTTTTTAAAAAAGATTTAACTCTTACATCGATTTTACAATGTTCTGGTCAACATCGTCGTAAAATCGACTTAAAAGTCAAATATTCTTATAAAAAATAAAAAAAAAATTTAAACAACAAATAAAAGTTTAAGTTATCATATATACAACTTAAATAAAATCAGTCTTAAATAAATACACAAAGCAATCATATATAAACATTTCAATCAGAATTATCTGATGATATGTTTTTATCGTTTAAAAAAGTTTGACTTTTCTAAGAGGATTTGCATCGATTTTACAATGATCTAGTCAAAATTGTCATAAAATCGACGTAAAATTCAAATATCTTATATATATAATTTGCTCAACTCTATCCAGCTGAATGATACATCAGCAGTGAAGAGAGTGACACATGTCCGTTAAAAATATTAATAAAATAAATAATTAATCAAATTTAAAACAAATATATTAAAGAACATAAGTAAAAAAATGCAATAAAGAATATAAATAAATACTAATATATATATATATATTTATATTAGAATAAAATTTAAATGAAATTTAAATATATAAAAACTTAGAAATATTATACAATACAAGAATTTTTAAATGCACAATTCTATTTTTTTCTTCAAGTGATTTAAACTTCATTTTCAAACTAAAAATATAATTAACTTTTAATGCAAGTGAACAAAAATTATGAGATTGAATAAGTTAAGAAGTTTCAAATAATCTTATATAAATCTCCAACTAATAAAATTATAAAACACAAATAATATTTAATAAATCATCAAAGGGATAAAAGTTATTAAAAAAATAATAGTAAAAAAGAAAGATGTCCACATAAAAATATCATACATGTTTTTTTTTATTAAAAAAAATGAAATCAATATATATATATATATATATATATATATTAGTAAGATTCAAAATGGTAAATTGAGAAAGTTATATTAGTAAGATTTACAAGAATAAAAAGAATATGAAGATCTAGGAACAAATAAATATTCCTCTCTGATATTCAACGTATATTTTAAGTGAACTATTACGTTTTCATATAAAAATTAAAATAGTAGATTTTTAGTCCATTATTATCTTGAGAAAAAAATTAGACTATTTGACACAACTAGTGTAGAAGAGATTACAAATAATGTATCATCAAAAAGAAGTCGAATAAAATATAAATATTTTAAACGCTAAAACATTGATATTAAACATAAAACTTAATACAAATTTTAAAAATATAATATTTAAAATATAAAGTAAATCAAGACCCGCACATACGCGTAGATTCTCTCCTAGTTCTTATAAAAGTCAAATTTTTTGGGTTCTGAACTTGGATTTACAGGAATGCATGAACCTCGACCTATAACCTCTTAATCACAAAAAAAAAAAAGCATAAACAGTAAAACCAATATATAAAACCTTAAACATTTGTTTTTCGTGGCGTGATGTATGCTTGTAAATAAGCGTAGTTGTAAATTTCATAGTAGTTTTTCTATTCCAATTACCCAAAAAATACTCTTGCATTTTCATCGTCCCATTGATTTTCTTAAAAGGAACATTTACTAGTCAAAAGTTCTTTAATTCCATCGTAAGCGACACCAAATCTCTTGTCTTCAAAGATC